TGGCCTTGTGCCAGACACTACACTAAACTACCGAGTCCACAAACAATGTATAAAAAAAAAGGCGTGAATGAACAGTGAGAGGAATGGGGTCAATCAACAAGTGCATAAATTATAAATATTAAAGAGATAGCCTGAATAGAATAACAAAGGCGTCTGGATGCAAAACGTGTGTAATTTTTTATTAAATGCAAACAAGTAGATTATCTCGTGGTACGAGATCAGAGAAAATGTTCCGCGCCAAAATAGGAAAGCAAGATGAACAAGGCGGGAAAAAGGTTTATCAGAATGAAAAGTTCTGGAAAAAGGACTCGTTAACACGAGGTGTAGGTGCGCACAGATAGAAAGGAGTACTCACTGTGGATTTTGCGCGTTGTAAGTGTGTGTAGTATTTTTTTTAGGTTCAGGTTCATAGTTAGAAAGAATGTTCAGTCGTCTCCGATTTTTGGTCGGGCATTGAATTGACTGCTGGAAATTTTATCGGATTGATGTGGACGTCTAGCCAAAAGGACGAAGAGTTATTTGCAGTTGGTTGCATCGTCTTAGTGAAATTACTTATGGCGAGTCAAGAGAGACGAAGGATTATTTGTAGTGAGTTGCATTGTCTTGGTGAAATTGTTTATGGCGAGCCAAGAGAGACGAAGAATTATTTGTAGTGAGTTGCATCGTCTTAGTGAATTTGCTTACGGCGAGCCAAAAGGGACGAAGAATATTTGTTCGTCAATAAGATATCCCTGTCTGTATTATGGTTGACTGACGAGGGATAAAAATAAGTCACTTGTTGATACGAAGTTTTGCTTACGACTGTGTCGTGTGTCTGGAACGTTTTCTGGTCGAAAACGGAGAAGTTGTGACCTGCGGGTAGCTTCAAAACGCGAAGAAGTCTTGGTAAAGTGTGAGGTCGACATTGTTGAAATAAGATATTCCGGCCCTGCATATGGGTTAAGGGCACGGAATAAATGAGTTGCCCGTCTAGTTAGGTTGAAGATCGGGAAGCAACTGGCTTGCAAACGCTGTTCGTTTGAGACGCCAGGAAACGCGCGGGAAAAAATTCAAAATCTGTTCGGCTGACTTCATCAGCAGGAGCTAGCGACCTTCCCCCTCCAGATTACTGCTACGTCTAGCTGTGAGAGAGAGGAAGGGGTGCAAACGCGCACACGAGTGTGAAAGGAAGGGAGGAAAACTCGCTCGCGCGTAAAATATAGATGGAATTAGTGTGTTAATTCCATAAACTGAAACCCCCTGACAATTTGGAGCGCCGTACATTCGTCAATTTCGTGCACGAACGAAGATAAGGCGATGGAGATTTTTCGCAAAAAATCCTCTTTAGTGATGAAACCCATTTTCATCTTGGTGGATTCCTTAATAGGCAGAATTGTCGCATTTGGACTGATGAAAACCCAAGGAAGATTGTTGAAAAGCCACTGTATCCACAAAAGGTGACCGTTTGGTGTACATTTTTTGCTAGTATATTTTGGGCCGTATATTTATAAATTTGAACGTCCATTTTCGTGATAGGCTTCGATAAATTTAACACGTTGTTTGATTGTTAATCTTTCCATGGTTGAAATTGTCAAAGACTTAAGTTGTTAAATCTGAAAGAAAAAGAAAACATCATTAGACGCTTAAACTGAATTCACATTTAAAATCGATCCAAGATATTGGAACAGCCTTTATTATCTAAGCCTTCACCTGAGTAAAAGAGAAAAAATACATTCTAGAAAACACTTTCCCGGAGTCCATTAAGGTTTGTCTTAATACTTGCTAATTCTCTAATATTGTGTACTGTGTTGCATTTTTAAATATGTCTCTTAAGGATGTAGGCGACCACGTCTCCCTTCAGTTTCCTCTCTGTGAATTACCATTCATATTAAACTGATTGAAATATTATTATAATTCTTTGAATTATTCAAATCATTATCCGCATCTTGGTTATTTTGATGGCGTTGTATTGTTTTTTGTTTGTTTTCAATCTAAATTCTATTGATCTAAATGACAAATATTCGTTTAATATTGTCAAGTGACGATTACAGGATTCGACAAGAACATCGAACCCACCATTCCAAACGTTGAGATCGAAACAACGAAAGCGAAAGTACTCGTTTGAATAAAGATTTCATTTATAGCGGATACGTTGAAAACAAGACAGTCATAGCTAAAAGTATGGTAGAATATATCTGGAGGGAGAATAGCTGGTATGGCAGAATATATCTGGAGGGAGAAGGGAAAAATTACCCCCTCTGGGATGAATTCTAGATAATTGATACGGAGTGCCATAGGAGAGTAAGGAGCCGGAAGGAGTTAGTAGGCTTGTTAGCCAGGTGCATGAATGCGCATTGTACGGATTTCAACACGATATGCTTTCTTTGCATAACTCACCTCTGTGTTTTTTAATCGCTTGGGTATTTGGATGCCGGTAGGGTTACGCCTGTGTAGCGAGTGAGATCTAAATGGATTAAATCAGTTGGTGTATTAATAAAGAACTTTTTTTTTTCCTGGCTTTATAAAAAAAATTTTTTCCTTTTTTTTTTTTTCACGGATTGTACACCTGACTGAAAAAGGAACCAGCCGAAACTTTGGGGTCAGGAGATCAAGTACTCGAAGAATGGAAGTCAGCTGTTCGAACCAAATTTAGAACTACTACTACTACTACTTCCATACGCCGTGTACTTCCTGGACGTGGGCGATCATGGCTATCCACAACTTCCTATCCTTTGTAGCGCTGAGTAAGGTTTGTTTTTTCACCACTCCCTGTTTTTCCGTCCATTTACACAAATTCATTATGTAGGTTACTTCCTATTTCCCTTTGTTACTCTTGCCATTTGAGTGTCAAATTCTCCAAACCGTCTTTTTTCATCTTTTTTGTTTCTATTATTCCTTAAAAATTTCCTCGTTACTCCCATATTCGGTCTATAGAATTCTCGGCATCCTTCTGTAGAACCACATTTCTGTTGCCTCAAGTTTCTTCTTCTGTGAGGAGGTCGTCCAGTATTCACTTCCAGAGAGGTGGACCGATATTACATAACAGTTTAGTACTCTTTTCTTTGTTTCTTTATTAATACACTGTTTAAGCTTTGGAAGGCATCTTTCGCTATATCAATGCGACTTCGGATCTAGGTTCCACATTTTCCGTCCACTGTTTCCTAGATAATTAAAATGTCGTACTTGCGTCCTTGGGCTTTTTCTCTTGGTGGCAACCAAACATTCTGTATTCTTACAATTGATATTTTGCCTTTTCTGACCGCTTTCCTTCACTGGCTTCTTTGTGAGGTCCTTCCAATAATAAATCATTTACAGAAAGACGATAAAACGTTATTTATTTATTGAAGCTTCCACATCGAAATATATGCGTAGAGTTGGCTGATTCGTCAGGCGATCATTTGTATATGAATAAAAGGTTTTACTGTACTACCTTCAACTTGATTCGACCTCGCTCTTCAAGTTACTTTGGGGCGTGTTGGATATTTGGAGATGAATGGGTAACATTTTTCAGCTGCTAGCTTAAAATCCACCAGGGGGCGGGAGGAAAAATTGGATCATATTCCCGAATCGAAATTTGGTCGATGAGCTTCTGACAATGCTGCCATACAAACTCGAAGGATATGCAAAGGGAAAAAAGAAGGGAAAGAAAAAGAAAAAGAGAAGAGTGCACTATTTCCCAATGCGCATGAATACATCGATAAGGCAAGACAATCTGCAGCCCTTTCCTCTTTCTCTTTCACCCTATATAAAAAAAAAAAAGAAAAAAGTGCGTAGTCTATGATTCATATGGGGATGAGGTTTCCCACTCTTTTTTGCTGTTTCCATGACAATGCATTTCCATGGCAACCATCTTGTGACCTTTGGTCTTAGCTTTTTTTTTTTTTAAGAAATACACGAAAAGCGAGTTGCAGGCAAGCTTTGTGTGCGTGTGAGTGTGTGTGTGTGTGTGTGTGTGTGTGTGTGTATGTGTGTGTGTGTGTGTATCTTTCTATCCAGGTGCTGAAAAATTCTCGGCTCGATCTGCTTCTCAAAATCTGATGAAATGAGCAAATGTTAAATATGTCTTTTTATTCAGATTTGTGGTCGGGCCCAGAACTTTTCAGTATTCACACACACACACACACACACACACACACACACACATAGGAAAAAGACGTGTTCAAAAATTTATCTCCCATTTTTTTATATCTTATTATTAATCCTATATTTCTTAATATTGAACACTTATGAAGAGTCATGAGTGATACACGCATAGGCGATCATGTATCTTTCGATACATGACTAACGAGGCAGATTTTTTTCCCGCAGTAGGTTGCCATTTTTTTCTGTGATCCAAGTCTATAGAACCCGGTCTGTCCTGCTATTTACCCATAGCTGTGGTGGGCGGGGAGAAGAAGAGGATTCGAACATTTCTCAAGAGGATTCCCATGCAAGTGAATGTAATGGATTCGACTGGAATTCGAACACGGCTCTCCGATTCCTCAATCTGATTCCTCAATACTTCAGCGTCCCTCCAACCATGAAGAGTGCTTGCCTTAAAAAACCGCCATCCTCTTGTAGTACACTGGTTGACTTTTTTGTTTCGAAGGAGATAGAATCACAATCTTATATAAGGTATATTTACATAACAAGAATTTAACCTAATAAGTTTTGTGGAATTCAAACGACAAGGTTTGCCCGTCTAATTTTTAACTCTATTTTTCTAAATTTCGATAAAATTGTTGTACATCTAAATCAAATTTCTAGACAAACAGTTCAAAGTTCATGTTTTGTTCTGTTTCTTTTCAAGGATTTTTGAAAATCTCTGTCATTATCAAGAACTGCATTTTGTCAGTATGATAGACAAAATTATGTTGACGACATCCTGTTTTTTTTTTTGTTTTTTGAACGCTAGAATTTGAATTAATTTAAATCTACGAATATCGTATAAGTGGCTTCGGTTTCTCCAGTACAAGTATGTATGAGATATTTATATTCAAGAAAAGTCCCGGTAAGTATTCGAACCTTTTGTACCCCTTTGCTTACGGTCAAATCACGCTGAAACACCGGTTCTCGTTCGATCACCGAAGTTAAGCATCGTAGAGCCAGGTCAGTACTTAGATGGGCGACCGCTTGGGAACACCTGGTACTGTAAGCCCCCAAAGTCCAACCCTTACCTCACAGTCGGTGGGGGGTGTAAACGGTAGTGTCAGAGCTATGCCGCCCGGAACTTCGTTTCTGGTAGGGCCACCCAAGGCGGACAGGTCTGACACACACGCCGACTAACAAGGGCTCTGGTGAAAATCCAAGAAGCAACTTCTGGTCGTTCCTGTCTCTGCGTCTGTGGGAACCCCGCGGCAAGCAAGAACGTTATCCGAGTAGGCCTGGGTACCCTACTTCTGTAATTTATCCCAAGAATCTTCTTCTCATAACAGGAAGAAGCCGACTCAATCCGCCCAGGGTGAATGCCGCATCAGTACAGAACAGCAGTAGTACCCCTTTGCAGGTAGGAACTCACCGTTTGATTCGGCGAAGCTTTTACCGCTCGCCTAAGAAGAGCATCACAATAAAGAACGTTTCTATTTTGCTTTTGAAGCACACTGACTCGTTCAGATTTTCCCGAAACACATATCTACTCAATTTTCGGCCTCTTCGACATGATGTAATGGTTAGAAAGTTTGTTTCGCCAGATCAGTTACAACTGAATAGTGAGATCACTGGGTGCTCGATAATTTCGGCCTTGTGCCACGTCTAGGCTACGCTTAGAACACCACCATAACTTCTCAGTTTCGTATACGAAATGTAAACAAAGCAAAATGGTATGTGTATATATATATATATATATATATATGTCATTCGCAGACAGTACTGTTTCGCTGTATCATAGCTCCTCAGTGGGACTAGACAACTGAATACCTCAAGCTCGGATCGAAACCCAACCAATTTGGTGTCAATCAGAGCTTCTACCGCTGAGCAATCTTGAATCGACAGAACGAGTCAGCCAAATCTAGCGTATTGTTTTACGAACATAAACAAACGCCAAACAGTCAAAGTGCTCCATTCATTTTACTGAAGAGCTTCGCATTTACGCAGGTGACAGTTGTTTTAGAATTAGCTTCTTGTTCAACAGTGCTCAACTGAAAATATATTTTCAAGAGCTAAATATATATATATATATATATATATATATATATATATATATATATATATATATATATATATATATAGTAAGGTAAAAAAATCCGTTGATGGATCCTAGTAATATGAAAATATTAGAACTGATCCACTAAAAAGAAGTCGATGTGTTTTATCTAATTTATACAGGGCAATATAATTAATAATCAAACAATTCTTTATTATTAATTACGTATATAGGCACGGTAGATAGCGTGGATAGTGGTTCGGATTTAGAAATCGGAGAGCCGAGTTCGTATCTCAGTCGAATCATTCACTTACGTGCTAATACTCTTGATATTAATCCTCTTCTTCTTCCTCCAGCTATGGGTAAATAGCAAGTCAGACTGGCTTCTGCAGCCTTGGATGGCAACTGCGCTAGGAGAAGGACAACTCTGAATTCAAATCCTGCGGATCTCTGTATTCGGCCCTTCAAAAAGTGTGGTTGGTTCTGCACAAACCCATCACCACTATAATCAAATCATTTGTATAGGAACTGAGCTGCTTGGCCCTCATACGATGGGAGAGTCCACTATATATATATATATATATATATATATATATATATATATATATATATATATATATATATATATGCGCCAATGGCGAAAATCATAAACATTGTTCTGTTATGTCCATGTTGTTTTCCGGAGTTTCTAGAACAAACTCATGAAAATACCGTGATCATAGCTTCTATTTGATATGTGGGTGTGCGTATATAGCGGCTCTGAATGAGAAATCACTGAACTGGGATCAAAATCCAATCGGTTATATGACACTCACTCAAGCGTAAATGCTCTTGAGAAAGCTCCTTCCCCAGTTGTGGGTTAAACAGTAAAATTTCTATCTGGAAAAATAATTGTTGTACTCAAAAGGTTGTTAATGTGCAATAAATAAAACAGTCATTCTCAGGATCCAGAATTTCCTTCGGATTAAAATAACACACAAAGGGTTGATAAAATGTAAAAAAACAAACAAACAAACAAAACAAATCAATCAACAAAGACGATGTACAATGATGGTATTTATCAATCCACCCACGGGGATCGAATGTGGCACAAGGCCTTTTTAATGTGGGTATCTCTGAGCCCGTAGGCCCAGCCAAAAATAAATAACCATCCAAACCCGCCGAGGCGGGCCAGTTCCGTCAACCTCCCCCAACGAAACCCTACCCTTCGGCGGAGCTTCGTCCGGCTTCCTCTCTGCAAGCAGAGAGTTCGACAGACACCCGACCCGGCAGCTCACAAAGCGCAGATACTACACTTTGATCCTAGCCACCGGGACAATGTACAATGATGGCAACAAACAACATATCCTCTAAATGCTGTTTTTCTATCAAAGGCGACATTGATGATTAATGTTCAGCATATTTCCTGGATTCTAAGAGAATGTCCGTATTTGAAGAAACACCTATTGAAATTTTTTAACGTTGAGAAACCAGTTCTTTTTCCTTTCCAAAAGATAGTCAATTATCTTTGCTATTTCAACACTGAAATAGAAATAGTTATTTGTCGGACAATTTTAAATGAACCTTGAAACGTTGTTTTTTTTTCTTTTTTTTTTTTTTTTTGCTTCAGCAAGATTCATTTAAAAGGCAACAAACGTTTTCTACCAAAAAAAGGAAAGAAAGAAATAAAAAAAATAGATGCCGGATTACATTAATAGCGGTAATGGAAACCATATGACTAAGGCGATGATAAAGGATTTTATAGTGTTCGTCTTTTCTCAGTCTATCGCCCCAAGGGATTTATCTGTGGGGCCAACTGGCTTTAATTGTTTGTCTAACGATAACAGGTTTTCCGAAAGTTGACACCACGCCATGCAAATTACGAGAAATTCAAGCTTGACCTTTATAAAGAGTTAGCCGGATTTACAGCAAGATGTGATCGCTGGTGGCTTTTCTTTCAATTCAATGTAAAAATGCTGGAAAAAATTATCAAAATTAAAAAAAAAATACTGTAAAAGATAAAACACTTTGGAATGGCTAGTGCAGAGAAATTTATCCCTTTTTTTTTTAACTAAATATAACCCAGTACAAGGCGCGATAGCCACTCAAAGTAGAGGGTTGCAGTTGAAATGATAATAGGGAGATGTATGAGGAGGAGAGAAAATGGTAAGAAGTAGGGATAACGAGGATAGATCAGTGGTTATCAAAATATTGGGTTTTGCCGCCCCCCTTTTTACCAAAAGAGATCTCACCTCCTTCGTCTTTTTAATCTTTAAAAATCAGACCCTACTTGAAAGGAGCAAATCGTTGAGAAAACCCAAAATGCGATGAAGCAACTGAATAATAGAAACGATGCTAATGTGTGGATTCAGTAGGGGACTACTTTGAAGGATATTAAATGCCGAATTGATATGTATTGTAGTTTTCTTTTTATAGATGTAGGTTATGTGAGATACGCTTGGGCGATCATGGATCTTTCGATATATGACTGACGAGGCAGATTTTTTTCCCGCATTAAATTGCTATTTCTTTCTGCGGTAGACCAGTTGCCATCCAAGTCTATAGAACAAGGTCTGTTCTGCTATTTACCCATAGCTAGAAGGAGAAGAGGAGGATTCAGACCTTTCCCAAGGGTATTAGCACATAAGTGAATGTAATGGATCTGACTGGAATTCGAACTCGGCTCTCTCTATCCATTACTCCACCGTGAAGACCTCGTAAGTTCTCTTATCGACTAATAAACGTATTCAACGGCATTATCACAATTAAAAAAATATGGTAAATGAAAAAACTCATTGTAATGGCTAGTGCAGAAAAATCTATCCCTTTTTTTAGTAAATATTACCTAATACAAGGCTCGATAGCCACTTAAAGTAGAGGGTTGCAGTTGAAATTGTAATGATAAATGAGATGTAAGATATGAGTAAAAGAGAAGGTGCTAAAAAGTAGGGATAAGGAGGATAGACCAGTTGTTCCCAAACATTTGTGGCTTGCCCCCCTCTTTGCGATCAAAACAGATCTTACCCCTTGCGTCAGTGTTTAAAGTGTTAAGGCACCCACGCGGGTGTTTGTTTCACAAAGTGACAGTTCTTACGACAAAAAGCTGCCAGAGTGAAACTTCTTTCTTACATTTGGAACACTGGGGAAATAAGAGTGATTCGACTCCGTAGAAGTAGCAAGGCTAGTCCTAGCTTAACTGATGGAACTAAGGATTAGAGCTCTTGCGAGCATTTGCCATGGAAATAGCGATAGAATAACGATCAATGTCAGTATAGCGTTACTATATCCACGATACGGTAACCTTTTTCGTAGTTGATGATAGACGAACAGGTATATAATGATTTGAAAATCTTTATATATACAGTGTAACCCAGATATAAGAGACCCGGATATAAGAGAAACCCGGATATAAGAGAGATTTTCTCTGGTCCCAAATTAGAGCCCGTGTTAATGTATATAAAATAGACGAAACCCGGATATAAGAGACTTATTCTCCGGTCCCGACAACTCTCTTATATCCGGGTTACGCTGTATATATTTATGAAATTTGCACGTGACAATATTTTATTAACTCATTGAATTAGATATACATTAGGAGATATGAAAAAGAGATGTGAAGTAAGGCCTATAAGCGTTATAATGTGACGTGGTCATAATTGCGTCTATTCGACTGACTCCTTTTCTACAGCTTATTAACGCTTGCAGGTTATTTAAAGCCATAAAATATTTTTAGATTATAAGAATTTTTTTGTTGCGAGGAGAGATAATAATGGTTTAGTGGTACAAGTCTTACTGTTGCATAGCCCCCTAGTTGGGGGGCTTCTCATCTTCTCTTTGCAAGGCGGTCGCTAAATATTTTGGTTCCGAGGTGAAAGACAGCATAGGAAATTTTAACTTAACTTTTTATTAATGGTCATATCGACATGTTCCATCTATCCAGTGGGGTCGTTCCCCCTCATTGGGGAGCCTTTCAGACACGAAAGAAAAGACGTTTACATTGTTTGACGGCTAAGAAATAACTCACGGAAAGACCTC